GCAATCCAGAATACTCACAAACGATTCTCTCACATAAAGTGGAAACGGCTTATGACTATCGTTCTATCGCACACCTCAGAAATAGTTATCCCAATTAAACAACAGACAGCTTCGGATGAGATACCCTTTTTTATCGGATATTGCGGATGTGACATACATTGGAAAATACCCATGACCGGCAGCGACAATGCCTGTCTTCAAATCCAACGCCGAATCACTCTTGCCAAACGTGTACTACTACTGGGAACTGAGTAAGAAGGTGAAATGTTAAGAGATCTCTCTACGATCGAAGACAGAGCTCTGAAATGTGGTCTTCATTTCCGTTCTCTCTTGTACCTCTTAAACTCCAGCGCGGTTACCCAGTTCGAAGACACATACCGGAGTTTGGAACTTTTGAGTTTAGTAGGAATTTAACTTCGACGTCCTGCAATATTTGGCGATTCTGTTTTTTTTCTTCTAAATATTTTGATTGAATTTGGTAGAAATATGTGAAATTTATTATTTAAGAAAAGTTTCTAAGAAAACTTTTCAGATACCTAAAGATACAATACAAAAATACCGTTAGTATCTTAACCGCTGAGTCAATTGCAAGACGTTACATATATAATTTCATTCATTTTCACTGTATCCATTAAATATTTGTCTTCGCTATTAAGTTTGTATGTATGTCTGTATGTTAAGCAATTTGCTGCTCTGCGCCTGAAAGTATGCTAAAATCAGGAGGGTGCATACAAATTTAGCGACACTGTCAAGCTCATAATCCAGTGAACATGATACCACTTAACTGTAAATGCGCGTTCTATGGGCCAACATTAAGTTAACCACAAAAAAAAAAAAAAAGTAAAGAAGAAAAAAACTACCCACAGTACAGGAAAGAAATAAATGAAATGAAATAAAAAATGTGTAGGTGGTAATTCACGAAATTCGTTGAGCCCACTTTTTTATGCCAGCCATTTCTCCCTGAGGAAAAACGAATCTCAGTCACATGCCTATGCTTGAAAAGGGGGAACATTAAGTGTCAAATCCATGTTGTTGTTTGCCATCAAAAAGCATACTTGACGGTGTATAAATAGTCAGAGTGGTGGGAGGTTGGTTAAAGGCAGCTGGGAGGGGAATTCTCAGGTGTATTTATTTGACAATTGAACGTTTTGTGGCATTTATTTGCATTTAAAATTGTCAAGCGTGAGGAATGATGTGAGTGAGGCATTGTACTTGGCCAGCACCGTTTATTTTATACAATACTATTAACACATTTACAGGCGCATATGCATACTTCGTTTCATACATACATTATTCATACAAGTATGTTTAAGTTTGTGTGTGAAACTTTTATATATATGTAATGTACATATGTGAGAAATGTGAAAAATTTAGCTCTTCAAAAACCAATAATTCAATACACTCACATTGGCAATGATTTATTAGCACACACGCACACACAGACACACTATCAAGTGATAGTCTGTAAATGCCATCCTCCGTCGAAGGAATAAAAAATGAAGAAAAATGGCAAATCGCCGGAATTACAACTAAAAGCCTTCAGAAGTGTTCACCGCAAAAGAATGACGCGCCACAATGCCAAACAATACATTACAGTTAGCTCACATATACTACGCACCCCCAACACCTACACATACAAGCGTACACAATTTGGACTTGGACGATGGCCACAATGGGCACTTTCATTTCATTTGCTCAACGTGCTGTCAATTCATTTTCATGTTCGATTTTTATTGCCTTTCCATTGAAAGCGTATCTATGTATGTCTGAATTGGCGAAAAAACTATCTCTAACCAAACGTTCTTTTTGTGATGTATGAGCACATACTTGTGCATATGTGGATTTGTCGTATTCGATTACCTTCACACAATATTTCCCGAACCCTTGGCTTCCCTTATGAAGTGCAGTAGTCTATTTGCAGGTGCTTTCCTGCAGCGTCTATTGTGGTTGGGAAAACTATTTTGAGAATGTGTTGAAATGGTGCTTAGGATTAAATGTTCTCACTTGATATCCCTATTGTAATTCGTATTCTTATTTATTTGAATTGCCTGTAAATGATATCGGTAAGTCATAAAAAATGTACTTAAGTATGATGCTCACAGTGATACTTATAAGAAGGCATTATTCTGATTAGTCTGTTGGCTAAAAGCTTCTGCTAAATGTTAGTTCCAAGTTAGACCTATGTACGTGTAGATGTGGCACCTACGAATGGTTAATGCAGTTTTATGAGTATGACTTCCTTGACTTTCCCTGCCGAGCGACGATCGTAATTATAAGAAATGATCTTTCAACTTAAATTAATTTTCGAAATATATAAAGAATATTTTTTTTACAATAATCCAAAATCATAGAGAATTAATTTGAAAAAAAAGTTAACTTTTGCGATTACGGTCACAGTCTGCAGGAAATAAAAGCTCATAAAAATCATCAGCAGTGATTAAGGCGGCTAAACTAAATTCTACATCTCGACAGCGATATTGGTGAAAACTCTCGACCTGTCAAAGCACTATATCTAGGAAGTACTCACTGCTGGGGCATGGTAAGAAGAAGACTTCAACTCCGCTGTACGGATGGGTTGAGGAGCGGTTGAGGAGCGGTGTAACGTGACCTTTCGCCTCCTATTGTCATCAAACAGCGAAAAGAAAAAACGCCTGGCGCGCTGTTGTTGACTTAACTGTAATCGCGTAAGCGGTGCTCATTGCCAGTTTAGAAGAAGAAGAAGAAGAATAACAATGCAAAACACACAGCATGAGTAGTAAACATTTTATCAAATAGAAAACTTCCACTTCATGAAAGCTCAGCTAAAAATTCCGATCTATATACTATATCGAACTTGAGGAACGAAATTGGAAGAAATCCATACTGTGTCGACTTTATTCCTATATCCGGTGTATAGGTGCCATAACTTATACAGAGTTGATCACGTTGGTGTGGAGCTTTCAAGCGGCTTCCGTGATAGCAATGAGCCCTACTTGGAAGACGCTGTAGTAGCTCGATAGCGTCAAATTTAAATTGATTGAGGACGGTGGAGAGTGGCGAATTTCACGGCTCGCTGATTCAACGCGTTTTAAACCTCTCTGATCCAGAGTATTTGTATGGAATTATGTTAGTGGCATTAACAGATCTACGCTATTAATTTGTTGAATATACAAACAGACATGCACTGATATCAGCGCTACTATTGAAAATGGAGTGAGTGAAAATGTTTTGATGAAACATTAAAAAAAAATAAAATAAAAGAAATAATATCAATTGGCAGTGCAATAAGAAGCTGTTTCTTATATTTATTATACGTAATTATTGCCTCTGCGTTGTTTGTATGCAAATGTGTGCCTTATGAACAATTTTTATGAACCGAATGCTACAAATGTTTAACCGGTTTCACACTCACATAAATCTTGAAATTAACCAAACCAAACCGCTAGCTATTTAATACACTTTCTTTTTAGCCGCTCTTTTTTATTTTTTGCTTTTTTTGTGTATTGTTTTTATACAAATCGTAAACGTGTGTAATTTTGACGACAAAATAAATAAGTCAGGGCACCTAAAATAGCTCGCAAATCTTTGCAACAAGTTCTCGCCTTTTTTTATTCTCGACATATTTCGTTTTTATAGGGAGTAAGGGGCGGCCGAGTGGTTAGCATTGCGTACTGTCATTCGAAAGGGTCGGGTTCAAATCCCCGCCCGACCAGCATCTAAAAGTTGTAGAAAATTAATTTAAATAAAAAAATAAGTTGAATTTTCTAATTGCGGTCGGTCCTCGACAGGGAATGTCAACCCCTCTGAGTGTATTTCTGACATGAAATAAAGTCTCCTCGTAAAAAAAACATCAGCCGGTCGGAGGCGTCTTAGTATAAACTGTATATTGTCCCTCCATTTGTTGGAAAACCACAAATTGGAAGAGGTGCTCAGCGGAAAATCACTTCAGTGGTATTAAAAAAAGAAATATTTAGATATTTGGCTTACATATTTCTAAGCAGTTTTGAAGAAAAACATTGTTTTTATCAATATTATGAAGCACTCCTTACGACAGGATCCTTTTAGATTACTGCGTAAAGATTTTTCTACTCATTCCACCATTATTAATCCCCCATGCTCGGTGATGGCCAAGAATTGGCTTTAGTTCAAAAAATAATTTCGAAAAAGTGGCCGCCGCGGCTGGCTCGAATGAATTCCGGTCGAGAGGCCCGATTTTCTGCCACTTTGCAACAATTGGGGTCGTATGGCTCTATGGGGGATGCCGCCAACGGTTGTAAAATTATGGCCGGATTTGTCTTTGAAGAAATTTGGACTAGTTATTCCCTCTGCCCTTACAATGGCTTGTGAATTATCATTACTCCAAATGCCACAATTATGTTTATTAACCTACCCATTCAACCGAAAGTGAGCTTCATCGCTACACAAAATTTTGTTGTGAAAATCAGAATCGGTGGAGATTTCGTTTTGAACCGATGCACCGAACGAACGATTTGCTTTATAGTCGCTTGGCTTCAATTCTTGCACGAGTTGGATTATGTAAGTCCGCAAACTAAGATCCCTCTTCAAAATTTTCTACAAAGTGGATGTGAACAGGTCCATTTGTTGAGACCGTAGCGAATGAACTCATTCCGAGTAAGTCTGTTCATTGTGAAAAGGCAAACCAAATGGTTTTCAACCGCTGAAGGGATTTTTGGCTATTAATTTTTGGTATATAATTAAACACCTCTTCCTTGAGCCTTGTAATATATGTAATGGAGTCCCATGTATATAATTCCAATAATATTACAGTTGAGCTTGCGATGGGTGTATAAAGTTTTATTACATTTCTACAAACGTAGACGAATGTCGACTGGCTTTTATTTAAGAAATGAAATAATTGGGGCTTTTTTTGTCACATATACATACCTACAGATCAGATTGCTTTACAATGACTGTTTTGAATTTTAGTATAAATATTAGCCAAATTTGTATTGAACGTCAGTCTAAATTTAGCCAAGCTCGCATCGTGTTAATTTGGAAAAATGCGTTCGTTTGGAGTTTTTACTTTGTTGCTGATTGTGCTATTATGCGTCATTTACAATGCAGCTGCGGTGAAGGATGAAGGCTTTGTGCGGACGAAACGTCAATTTGGATTCCCAGGTTATGGTGGATATGGCGGCTATGGTGGCTACGGAGGTTACGGCGGTCGTGGCGGCTATGGAGGCTATGGCGGCTATGGGCGTCGAGGTCGATTTGGTAGATACGGGGGCTATGGTTTCCCAGGATTCGGTCCCGGATACGGCTTTTTTGTTTAACATGTTATTATTACCATTTATTGTGGACCTTTTCTTTTATGGATTTTCTAATACACGATTAAATAAAAAATAAGCGTATGTGTTTGTGTTGTGAAAGAAAATAAGTTTAGGTCTCAGTGGCTGAGCAAATCTTTGCAATTAGTTTATCCATCTTAGCCGCAAAGGCGAACTGATGACTACGCTCCGTCAAGGCCTCACTGCATACGCCGCATCGTACGCAGCTAGAAATAACAAATTGTCAACGCACAGCACACAAATCGACACTTAAACCACACACTGCCACCCACGCGCTCAACCACTTGGCTGAGGCAAAACATTGGTAGTTATTTGTGTAACAACTTGAGTCAACATTTGTCAATTCCGATGCCAACACATTCTTGAGGAGCTGCCGACTGCGTGCTGGAAGGAACTGTGGGCATTAAAGATTTCTTTCGTTTTTCTCCTGTGAGCGTCAAAGTATGAGGGGTGAGTGTCTGCTTGCTGTTTACTTGCAGGTTCATTTTACAGTAGAGGATTAATGTGAACGGGAAATTTGCATTTAAACTCAATAAATCCACTTTGCATACAGCAACAAGAATTGAGCTGAGCAAATAAGGAGTTGACATGAAACGGTGAATATGCCACATACATACACACATATGTATATACGATTATGTGTAAAATCTTCTGGTGTAAGAATTTGAAGAAAATAATTCTGGAAAAGCATTTGGAGTGTGAAAAGACGTTCTCTTTTGGCTCAGCACTGATTTACGCCGTTAGCCCTGGCACGCTTTGTGCATAATCATCAATGAAGTCAAAGTAAATATATATATAAACATCCATACATTCGTATGTGTGTATACATGTGTTCATATAAGCTTGCAAATATGGCTGGAAGGCAGGTGTGTGGCATGTGAAATCTACAATCAGAGCTCTCCAAGAGTTCGTCTTCATCTCATTCTCTGCGAAAGCCTTTGTTATTGTTGCTGCCATTATAAGACTATCAATTGACAAAGCATATTTGCTGAGAATTTTACATTGGATATGTTTGTTTAAGTTGGTGTATGTTTACTTGCAGATGCGTTTGGGGTGCTGATTGCAAAAAGTGCGCAGAGCATTAAGGAAAATTTGCAAATTTCTTCTTGCATATTTTATGTGCCCATTTGTACGATTTGTTGGGTATTCAAAAAATTACCGACATAGTGGCGGTCTTCTTCTTCTCTTGCATTAACCAGCGGTCTCTGCGTCAAATACTCTCAGAACTTTCCTATCACTTGACCAAGCCCTGGTAGACGTTGCCTCTTATTTCGCTGAAATATCTTCGGTAATACCGTAATTTACTTACATTTCTTGCCAACAATTTTACCGTAAACAACGTGCGAACGTTATCGCCCACGCTTCTGGTCTGGGTAGAAATTATATTAAATTAAAAAGGCCGCAAGACCCAATTGGTTAGCAAATGCAAACTAATAACTGGATGGCCCGTGCCGCCCCTCGGCCGGGAATGTCAGCACCTCTGCGTGTATTTCTGTCATGAAATAAAAGTGCCTCATGAAAATTCATTAGCCGCTCGGAGGCAGCTTAGTATAAACTGTGGGTGCCTGCATTTGTTGGGGAAATATCACGACGTAAAACCACAAACTGATGGAGGATCTCGGTCAAGATTCAGCGGCTACAAAGCGTCAATTTAATAAATAAAGAAGCCACATGAAAAATAGTCACACTGCATGATACTAAGCTGATAGAAGAGGTCCTTTTCAATGCCGAAGAATCTTCTAGTGTTGAGCAAAGCCAGTTTACCCAACCGAGGGGGGGTTAAAAATCTCAGACATAAGTCAGGGAAAAAAATTCTTTCCAACTGTGGGAAAACATAAGAGTCTATTCCAATAAGAATATATGCTAGATCTCTTAGATCTAAATTCACACTGATGGCATCCGATTGGTTCGTTAACAGTGAGATTTTGCCTTTGCCTGACATTAAGCCAAATTAGACTTCATACGCGTTAGTCATATTTGTTTTGATAATTCAAGTAGATTTTGGGGCCTCCAGCGTAACGAATTAAGCTGAAAACATGCATGTTCGGATCGGTCATCATCGGATTACAAGTCGAGCGGAAAGTTTTTTGAGTGTCTGCTGTGATTACATCTATTCGACGTTTAATATTTCTAGTGACAAATGATTCGAGTCCTTGTTAGGGCCTCCGAGCGTACCCACATGTAGAGCAATGTTGATATGATGCCCGTCTATTACAACATGCACGATGTGGTTACGCGTTTTTCATGCCGGAGACATCTATATACCTTTACAAATGACGACGGTATCTCATATTATAGACCACTATATTTTAAGCTCTGCTGAAGTCTGTTAGCATCAGCTCTCTAGAGGATGTTAGGACACAGTGGCTCAACTTCCTACAATACATACTTACAACAGTTTTTATGACGGTAATTGCATCAGGTCCATATATCAGACAAATTGAACCTCCCACAATGTTTCTTTTTTGGTGCCTATATTCACCTTATATACATATACTCGTATAACATTCAAATATTCAAACACATAAAGATATCTCTTAAACTACGACCTGCTAAATGTGAAATTTGTGAGCTTGCTTAATCGTAGACTTGTGAACTTTTTACTCTAACCAGTCGAAATCGGTCATAGCAATAAGTTTTATAAAAGCTATAAAAGCCGTATGGCAGTGGAGTCATAAACAAAAGTTCTGCTCAAACAAAACTTAATCAATGAATTACAAGAACAATAAATGTTTGTATGTCTACTACATATACGTAGACGCACCAGGTTAAACGCAGCATAAACTATTTACCTTCGCAAGGCATTGTGATATTGAAATAAGTTATATGTGTACTCAACCTTCGACAATCGGTTTAAGAAGAGAAACGAACTGGACCATTTGGTGCATGCAAACCATGCCCAAAGGGTACGATAATTTCGTCCACCAGAAATCATTGCTGTGGCCGCTCAACATCTGCAAGAACTCGTGCTCATAATTGTAACTGCTGCATGAGGATGGAGGTGTTGACTGCACAAACCAGACGGGGTGTTTGCTGATCCTTGTCACAACGGTCGACGACAACACGCCAGGCGTATGCCCTCTTACTTACTTACCACTTGCAAAGTTCTGCTGCACTAACCACCACCGTCGCCGCCGATTCGCCCGAGATATTCAGATATGCTCAGCCGGCAGTGCTGGCCACACCAACGGACCCATTCATGGTTGCTTGGTTAGCTGGCACTAATAATTCAATTAGTTATTAAAAATTCCAAAGTGAAATTGTGCAGCAGAAGTTCGGTGCGATACCCAATGTGTAATGTGGTGAAGCTGTACGATGCAGTTCAATAAAATCTTTGCCCCTGGCGGCCAATTCGCAGCTAGCTAAGCAAATATTTGAACATCGGAGAGCAGAGGTGGAGTCATGCGGCCAAATGCGAAAGCGAATAATATGAACGCTGCGATATTCTCGCATGGTGCGCGTTGTACAGTAGTAGGGCAAGCTGGATTTGAGGTGCTTTGCATTTTTTATATAACCAGATAATCTTTTAAAAGTTTTCACGTAAATCGAGTTGTAAGCTTACCATTGGTGTACAAGGTCCAATACACAAAGAGAGAGTACTAAAGGACCTTGAGAGATGCAGAACTTTGGTAAATGGGATTGATTTTCAACCTTCCAAGTAAGTCTTCCGAGGTTCCTGGGGTGCTAATGGACGGGTCATGAAAAATTTGAGATCCAACAAAAAAAGGCATGTAAATATTTTGTAAGGATCAAAATGATTAAAAGGCTTCAACTTTCCTATCAATGACTGCCGCGGTTGGCTCTGCAGTGATACCTCTGTTCTGTCTGTCGACCAAAGTTTTTTTTAACATATTTTCACCTCACAAAACATAGTCCAACGGATTCAAATCGCGTCGCAAGCCAGTTGACATCATTATTTCGGCTACCTACTGGGGCAGTGCTGCTTGCTAACGTAGTAGCCGAGGTGAAAAAGAGCTTCGTCGGAAAATATGATTGTTTGGCTTCTACCAAACCCCTTTCGTTTCAATAGGAGAGCCCAGGAAAGCTGTTTGGGAAAACCTACCAGGGCTTTCGCTCACACGTCCATTGCTTTTTCGAAATTTCTATTCTCCCAAGGTTGAAGAGACTCACGATGCCTAGATGGGAAATCAAGGCTAATCGCTGGAAGAGTTCAAAGTAATACACAAAAGTTTTAAAGAACGCTGGGACACAGAACAGAACGCTCTAAGGGGTATTACATTGAATTGAACAAAATATAATGCATAGATACTAAAAAGGTCCGTTAGGTTAGGTTAAACTTATTGACCCATCGACACTCACTAAGCTTACACTATGTCCATAATGTTACCAGATACACTACATGCGACCAGACTGTATTGGTTCACTATTTATTGTGCCTCGCTTTGGCACTTTGAGTCATTGCTGTTTAAAGTTACTGAGGCTCTTTTGCGCCAACCACGACCAATAAATACGAATTCTTCCTTCCTAAGAGAGCCTTTTAATAGTCTAAGCAAGCTCGACTTAGTGCTGTGTGAAATAAAGACCTTTATTCTTCAAAAATGAAGCCGGTCATAATTTTAGAGTCGATGGAGATCATAACTTAATTGTACCTGAATTTAAGGATCTTGATATGGACGACCTCTGGTCCCAATGTGACGGTGCTACATGCACCAGACATGTCGACATGTCTTTTGGTGAGCGCTTTATCCCGCGACGTGGGTCTTTTGTTCTATTCTTATGAGCACAGGTGAAGTCGCTTGTCTAGGCAGATAAGCCAGAGACGATTGATTTTTAATTTGTTCTAGTAATATTTTTAAGTTAAGCTGAGCTGACGGTTTTATGCATATACGTGTGTGTACATATGGATATTCATTTAATATCCTTTGGAGCTTCTGAAATGAAGCCTAGAGATTGTCAAAATTTACTTCCGCATAATTAGTTTGCTAAAAAGCTGCATAAATCCAAATGCATTTAAAACCAACAGC